TCAGTATTAGATATATACTCTAAACATCAAATACTTAAGCTTACATAGAGTACTGGATGCAGCAGTAGCTGAAGGCAGAAACTCATTTACTGCAACCTCTTTGTTCTCATTCTTCTTGTCTGAAAGTGTCAAGAAAACACTTCTATTTATTATCTTTAAAATAGATATCTAGAAATAACCTTAGGTACTAAATTAAACACTGTTGAAGTAGTCAAAAGAATTGAAAACAACAATCTTCAAAGAAGCGGTGAATTTCAGTTAAATGATGAGGTGGAAGCTGGCTGATGTCAGTGTGGTGGCAATACTCTGGATCATCAGCACACACTGCAATAATCTTGTCATCTTTCTTGCTCTAAATTGAAGAGAAAGTTAACATATTCAATACCTAATAAATACAAGGAGAATTTCAGCTTTATTCTGATGTATTTGTTGCACCTGATCAATCATGGGCATCAGTCCTATGGCTCTGGCTCGATTAAAATAACCAGGAACGACAGGTTTCTATTCAGAAAATCAATTTCAGTTTAATGGATATTATCATGTATGCTTACCTTCAAAAGAGGCTGAAAAACCTGCTTGCGAACAAATAGATTTCCTTATTTGTGGAATGTTATGCAAGAAGCAGCGTAATCAATTAGGATAAAATTGACCTACCTGCATACGGACTAGAACATCCATTGGGTCAGTATCTTCACGTAGTGTTCGAGGAATAAAGCCGTAATTGTCAGGATAGACCACTGATGAATACAAGACACGATCAACCTGGGCATTGTCAAAGCAGTTGATAGGTAGAGGAAGTACATTAGAGAAAGTACAGAACATTATCAAGAACAATCAATAAATAAAGCAATCTAATGCCTTAAAAAATTGAACTCTCTAGAGATTTGTTGGGCCATAAATTCGATACGTGTAAATCACTTGTATGATTTAAAGCAATAAGAAGTCCATAGTTTAATATTAGACAAGTCCATCATACCTTGATCAGACCAGTTTTCTTGTCAAGTTCATATTTTGCTTACTTTCATTTCTCAATCATCTGTAATGATACAGTAACTTGATCTCAATGGTAACCAACCGTTTGAGAAGATTAATTGATCATAACCATTAGTAGAAGATTGAGGAAAGCCACTAATTAGATAGTTCTAGGTCCATATAAAAAAGACAATGAAAGAGAAGAATTCTAGATCCGCTTATAATTTTTATTGTTTCATTGACTTTGAGAGGCTAGAATGCACCAATACCTTTTCAGTGTTGACTAGTTGGTGTCTAACATTGACATATTGCTGACAAGTGTCGGAAATGCCAATTTTGTACGATTGGCCACCTTGTTGACACTGCGAGAGATACTGTCATAGCATTTTTGTTACATTGGCGCGCGTGTTAGACATCAACACATTGCCAACAATTGTCAGGAACATGTGCTCAAATTATTTTTGGTATTTATATGACGTCACCATCATGGCCGTAGATACTTGTCGGCATGCCCATCACCCACAAGTGTCGGGAACGCTAGATGGTGTGTCCAAATTATTGGTTTTGTATTTATTTGCTATTTGGTTTAATAGAGTACTGTGGTTAATCCTTGTATGAATCTTGTCCTCCCCTCCCATTTGTACCCTGTCAATGAATGGGTAGGGATCTAAGACGAATCCCCTAGACATGGATAGAAAATTCACATAGCATCCGTTTTTGTTTGTAATCTCAAATTGTAATTGATGTTTAGAAACTAGGTTTGATAGGACAAAGGAGAGAATTACATACAACGTTGATAATTTGCGGGGCTCCAGGTCCTGCACGGAGGTACAAGATATCAGATTTTATTATCTCTATGAAATAACTTTATATAGTGGAAATCCGAATTTAGTTACCAATCTCAAGGTCATGCCAGATGAGCAGCAACTGATCTCCTGGACAAAGATGATAGATCCTCTCATTTAAGCGGGGAGCACGCCTTTGTGTGGAGGCTTGAAATCCATTTTGTTTTGTCGTGTCGCTCATCTTTTTTTTTTTTTCTGAATGATAAAAGAAGAAAACAGATGTGAGGCCAGTAAGAATTGTTTAAACTTTTAACCATTGAAAATTTCCAAAATCCGTCCCTTGTGTGTGAGCTATATGTACATATGCAGGTATCATTTGTTTATTCTGATTTGAGCTTCTATTAAGTCAGAAACTTAAAAAAGGAGTTGAGTGAATACTTTTGCACCATAAGAATCTATATCAATTTCGTTTAAAGAAACGAAAAGATTTATTTAACATAACATCTCGGGTTGAGATTGTGAAACATTCAGGTTGTTGAATCAAATTACTACAGTTTAATTTCCCCATGAAACATGAATTACTTTGATTATATATGATCAATATCTTCATCAATATCTTCATATTTCAATCGGAAGATCTATTGGTGCAGAGGCTACGGGAATTTTTGGCTGATTAAACGCGTAAAAGAAGCCTGCACAGCTTGGCACACTACTCTGATTGCTCTACTCATTGACAAACTGAAATCATCCAACCAAACAAATGTTTTGATCTAGAAACTCAATAAATATGCTGCTGCTATCCATACATGGTATTACAAGCATTAAACAACACCCCAGAAATCTCTCACACACGCACACGTCAAGAAAATTTTTAAATTAACCTTGTAATTTTTAAACTTTCTTTAAAATCTTTTCAATTGTAATTTTCAATTTCCAGTTTCAATCTTGTAACTTTCAATTTTCAATTTTCATATTTTAATTTCAAATTTTTTTTATATCAATAAAATTTATTATTTTCATCAACCTCTATTTCTCTTGTCCCTCTTTCTTGACTTGAGCCTCCCTTGATATTTGAGCCATAAGAGAGTAGTGTGAGAGAATATTGCTAAACCATTGTCTGCATAGTGTCAAATGTTAGGTTGGTGTAAGGCATGGAATGTCTACTGAAGCGTCGATCAGTCCTGTTGCCGAAATAGGCGTTTATATGGTCCCGTTGTAGGCTTTGCACTGCATCAATTTGCCAGTAGCATTCTATTTTCAATAGTAAGATTACTGTTTTCTTACTATTCAATTATGTCTTTTATGTCAAATTGGTTTAGTAAAGGAAGTGGTTCAATCAGTAGTGGTGATAACATTTCAAATTATTTTCAAGATAACGACTAATTAGATCAAAATCATGTATCTACATCTGCATCAAATGATTTTACTTAAAATGAATTTTAAATAGCTCAAATAGAGCAAAAACTTCAAAATTAGACTACCCGAAAGGTAGATAACAGTTCTATCTATGAGATAGGAAAATTTGATTTGACTCAAAATTATGTTATCAAAACATTGGAGCAAACTATTCCAATCAAANTCTTGAACAATGGTTTGACTTCATTTCAATTACACATTCTTTAATAAAATAATATTACACACAAATCTAAAACTTCTTCTTATTTTTTAACCACACATTCTCTACAATAACACTATTGCAAAATGCATTTTTGGAAAAAATGGGGCTCAAATAAGCCCTTAATATATCGAATATATTATAAGCTTTTGAATACTCAACTCAATATTCGAGCTCTTAGATCTTCTCCAAAAGATGAAAGTCTTTTGGTTGAAGTAAATCCACTTCATTCAAACATTATGATTCCCAAACGAATTCCATGAAATCTTCAAGTTAGAGGACTAGAATGGGATTTTGAAAATACTCAAAACCCAATTCCAGTCTCTGTACGAAGAACTCCTAATCAAATGATCTCTTTTCCTGATGGAAATGTCAAAGTCATCTTTGATAAACATCATCTTCAAATGGTTTTCAAATATCTTATTCATCTAAATCTGATTACAGATCTAAGAGTAATACTTTTCATTCCACAAAATTTTCTACCTATTCTTTAAAAGAAGTTGATTTCAATCCTAATATTCCAAAAACTCATTATCAAAAAGATAAAGAAGATGAACTAGAAAAACCTGGTTTTCCTACTTTAAGTGATATGGCACCTCCTTCTGAGAGGCTTGATTAGCAATGTAATGTTATTTTTTCTACTATTGATAGAAGAAATGAATTCAATTCAGATAAAACCCTTGAAATCAAAAGTTAACGGAAAATACTTCTAAAAAGTTTTTCTCAAGAAGAAAATGAATCTTACTGGGAAGAATTTCTCAAGAAGAAATAGAATCTTACTGGAAAGAATTTGAAGTACTTTCAGAAGATTTAAGTTTTTATAAGCGAGCATACTTCAAAGTTTATAATAGAAACCCCACTATATCAAAACTTATTCAAACTATAAACTCTTCAAAAAATATTTGGAAAACACGGTGATAATTTTCAAACTGCTCATCCTCCTATGCAAGAAATAGTAGTTTCTCAAGGAAATAGTGAAATTCTTGTACCCCCTTTTATCCGATAGTGTATCCGAAGTTGTATACCTTGGGACATTTGACTTTCTGGATCAATTCTGAGGAGTGTCAGTGTGGTGAATTAAGTTCGAGGTTGTTTTGTCCGAACTGGTTGAGGAGAAGTGGCTCTGTCCCTTGTTGGGGTTACAACTTGCTAATTATGAGGAGCCCGATTTTAAAACATTTAGGGAACACGAGGCGTCCTCAATTATTGCATCCAAATAATTTGTAATAGTTGTACGTTTTCAAGAAAAAGCAGCTGAAGCGGTTCAACTTCCTATGTATGTAATCGTCGCTGCATTTAAAGCGCAATGATGGATGTCGTGCACATGTCTTGCAAAGTCTAGGCGCATAACAGTGCGTGAAGTAGACGCTTTGATATGGACCGTAAAAGACGAAGTGGCAGATGTATTGAGTAGCTCAGATTAAAACTTCAGATGAACGGTCAGATGATCTGGATTGACATCCAATGGTTGGGATTGAGAGCCTTTGCCTATGAAAGGGGAATATTCATGGCAAAAAATCACTTTGCCTTTCATGAAATCAGTAAACGTACTCTACAAAATCTCTAAGTTTCCTTTCTTTTTTCTTTGCATTTTCAATCTCTGGTGATACTCCACCATTCTTCAATCCAACTTGTAAGTTTCTTAAACTTTAACTTAAAAATTCTAATCCAATAGCAGTTTCAAACTCTGCTGGGAGGGGTTGTGGACTTTAGAGATGGGGGTACATATTACAAACACGGCCGACTTGGTTAGAGCTATCCAGACTGGGCAAAGTGTTTTGCGTTCTGGGAGGTTAGGAGAAAATAAGATAGCCTGGGGGGAGCCAAAATCCCTTTATCTGTAAATCTGACCTACCTAGCCAATCTTAGGGAAAAATATAGTATCCCTTATGACATTGAACTTCTTTCCACCACTTCTAATGAGCGATCCTATTTTTCGAGGCAGGGCAATGTCGTCATTACTGAGGTTCTCCTGAAGGCTAGGCTACGCCTGCCTCTTCATCCATTTTTTAGAGCTGTCCTTAGGTTGTATGGACTAGTTTCCACTTTGCTCATCCCCAATGCTTGGGCCTAATTAGTGGGAATGTATCTCATTTGAAAGGAAACTTCCCTTGGAGATAACATACCTCTCAATGTATTCCAAACCATTTTTCAACCCGGAGTCCTGGGAAAAAGAAATTCAAAAGGATAGTATATTGGTACTCCATTTGTCCGTGGGTGTCACATTCTCCCTTTGTCCTGGGCCTTCCTTCCTCCATCAAAGGATGGAAAGAGACGCGATTTTTGGGTAAGGAAGAAGTGGCAGGAATGTGAGGGTGACACTATTCCCCATGTAAAAGCTCTGACCTCATACTCCGAAGCCTGTGAGTGTCGTATCTATTTTTTATTTCTTTGTGTTGATAATCTTGATGTTAACAATGTCTTGCATTTGTTGTTTTACAGGGCCAGTTAAGTGCTTTGAACTGAACAACAATTCCTATGAGACTCTAACCGACATATACCATTGACCCTCCTCGTGACTTCGAGCCTTTGATCGTTTCCCGGAGATTTTTTTGAAGAGTTTTGTCTAATTGCCAAGAAAGTTATTGCTTCCTTCTTAATAAACATCATCTCTTAATTTACATAATTGTTACTGACCCTATTTGCCTTTGTAGAAAATTTTGAGAAGTGGAGGCACCCCACTCTGGATATGGTCACCATTGCTGCCACCTCCACCTTTGGGAGAAAGAGGTTGAAGCCTTAATCTGTTGTGGCCAAACATGTGAAAGACCAAGTCGAGCTGGTCAGCCGGGAGGCGGCAACCAAGAAGAGGGGTGACCTTTCCTAAAGGACAAGGGGAAGAATGTGGTTGAGGAGGTCCCCAAGGGGAAGCATAGATTCTCCACCACTACGGTGGTTGGTTCAACGGACATCCCTCCTCCTCACTCCGAAGTCCCAGTCGGGGAGAAGTTATTGGCGGCTTCCATAGCTACAGCCTGTGGGGCCGAAAAGGCCAACTGTTGTGGAGCCCCAAAGGCAAGACTCTGCAAAGAAGGCGAGGTCTACAAACGACTCCATTACTTCCGAGGCTCCTCAATGAACCAAGCTCGCCGTGAAAACGATGAGCAATGAACTAGCTCCGAAAGCTTTTGCCCTACTTATTCCAAAGGTCCAAACTACAACAACCACTTTCACAAGTATTCGACAAGGAGGTGACAATATTTCGTGGAGACCAGCGATGCTGTAGAATTGTTCTCCACAATTGCTGAGCTAGGCGATGAGGGCCTTTGGCGTAGCCATAGAGGCTAAAGCCCTCTTTAAAAACTTTCAATGTAAAAATAGAGAATTTATTAATAAAGCGTCTCAGGCTGAGGAGGCTGCTAGCAAAGCTAAAGCGGAAGTTGAAGGGCTGAAGAAGAAATAAGCCGAGGAGTCTGTGAAGTTTGCTTCTGCTTTCGTAAAAATTGAAAATTTGAAAAAGGAGGTTCACTTATCTCAAAGTGAAGTGGCCTCCCCAACGAAGCGAGTGGAGACGTCCGACGCCCACCAAAGGCTAACAACTGAGGCATTGGAGAAGGCCAATATGGAAAATGCTGCCCTGAAGCAGCATGTGGGGGAGTTAAACTCCAAAGTATTTGATCGACATA